TATCATTTTATCTGCCCAATAAAAAATTCGATAAAAAAAATGAAAATTACCAAATATTTAGTATTGAGAAATTTAATTTATATTGGAATACTAAGTTTTGTGTCTAAAAAGCTATTTTTACTATTGTTTGTTATAGCATCTTTAATTTTACAAATGCATGCACTTATTTGTTTTTTTAAAAAAAATATTGAATTATCAATAAGTTATGTAGACCAATCAATTTTAAGATTTTGAGTACAAAGGCATTTGTTCCTAGTACCTACCTTTTAAAGTATTGTTCATAGTGCTACACAAAGTTACAATGACAGATTACCCAATCATATTTTGAAAATTGTACATGCACATTTGAGTTGCCTGTAAACCATACACTACATACTTCATACTCTATTCCTAGTACAAATAAATAAAAAATAAAAAAAAACCAATATTATTAGACAAAAAACTTCTTACTAATGTTACTTATAATTTTATATGTTTGAGTTTTTTGTTATACAATAGTTTTATGCTGTATTGTCAGTTCAGTATCAACTAAGTTTTTTATTGCTAATGATAATATCTCAGATGCATCTAATAAATATTTGACTTCAGCTTTAATTTTATTAATAAAATTATTATTAAGACTTATAAGAAAATAACAAAAAGAAACAAATTTTTTCTTGTTTTTTTTAGTCATATAGCTTTTTGCTTTTGAATTAGTTTCAGAAAATAGTTGATCAAAAAATCTTCTCAATAATAGTTCTGATTCTTTAAATATTTTTTTAAACTTTTTTGAATCAAAAATAGAATTCTTATTATATATACACTGTTTTATATATAGCACTCTTATTATTAACTTAATTGTTTTGTAAAAAGAAACTTACTCTAAAAAATAATAATTAAATTTAATTAAGTTAAACAAATTTTACAATATTAATGTATTTATAATTAAAAAAATGATTTAAATATAATTCACTTACTTAGCTTTGCTTTGTTAAGCTCTGCACAAACTTTGTGATATGCAAATTTTAATTTCTAAAATTAAAATTGAAAATAAATAATCTTATCTTGTAATACATATGACCTATTTTGAAATTTTTTAATGTCTTCTTTTAAAATTCTTTTTATTAACATTAAGTAGTTAGACAAGTTAATATATTCTAGATTGTTAGCAGTTTTATATAAACAGTGATGACATATTAATATTTCTTGTAATAGTTAAAAGAAATTAATTAAATGTTCTGAAGTTTTTTTTATAGATTTCATTTTTGAACTTTTAGAAAGATAAATTTAATGCTTTGGATATAAACATATTTTTTTTGCTTTCTTGATATTTACTATTAATTTATTATAATGCTTTCTGTACAAAGCTTTGCCAACCAGATTAAGATGCTAACTTATGCTTAAAATTATTATCTAATTAAACACAATTGAAACACCATACTTCTTATAATCACAAGTAACATCTTTCTAACCCTCAAAATTACAGTACTGAGCTTTTTTTTTGTCTCTTTGTTTGATAAGAACAGTTGAATCTTTATAAAAAGTTTTTTGTAAAGACATTTTTATTTCTACTATTCTTTTTCAATAATATCTGTAATAAAATTGCAAGTAAATTCTTTTTAGCTAAGTTCTGAATTATCTTGTTATTTTTCAAATTATTTTAACAATTAATATATTGAAATTATTTTTTTGATTTTTTTGGGTCTTAAGCTTTGCCAATTTGTATCTGTAGCTGCTAATCCATTTTTGTACTTGTGAAATATATGACAATATATCTTTTTCAAATGGTGTAATATTTTGAATAATTATCTAATTAAATATAATATCTGCTATGCTTCTAAATAATACATTATATTATCAGCTAACCTATTACAGATTTCAAAAAAGGCATACCTAATGACACAGCATCTTATCAGTCTTATTCACATAACAGGTCATATGAAACTATAATCAAGTTGAACTACATTAGTGCAATTAATAATTATATAATATGTTGTACTTATATATCAGATATTAAATAAATATTTATATATATTACTATTAAATAAAACTTTTATTAATAATTTAATAACTCAAAATACCTTTTAAATTTACTTTACAATTAAATATTAGTATAAGAAAGTGGCCAAAAACATTATAAAAATTTTATAAACCTTTCTTATATCAAGAGTTTATTAATAACTTTCTTATATTAAGAGTTTATTAATAACTTACTTATATCAAATAAATTTAATACAAACTAGTTTTAGCTAAACTTTATTATATTAAAAATTTAATAAGTTTTTTTAATATTAAGAATTATTTTATATCAAAAGTAACTTGTTTTTTTTTCAGTATTAAGGTGATCTCTTTGGTCTGAGCTTTTTATTAATACTTATAGCAGGTACATGTTTTATATAGATATATCTATAATAAACTATTAGACAAGTGTACAACTGGCTACATGTGTAACTTTTCTATATTACCTATTTAAGGAGTCCGCCTGAGAGTTCCCTACCAGTTGCTATATCTAACACCTCTGCTTAGGTGTTTCATTTAAACCCTCTAATCTAACTTTAGTATTAATTTCACTAGGTTACAGACCCAGATCTATTTGCATTCAATCATAGGACTATAATCCTTAGACTATTTTTATTCTTGAGGTAAACCTACCAGAGTGAGCCATATTTCTTTTTACCACTAATCTGGCTTGACGCTATGGCCAAGGCCAACACTTGCAGTCAGGATTACCTCTTAAATCACTATTACCTTTGTAAAGTTTATCCAAACCCTGGTACCCATCTTTCTGACTTCTTCTTCATCATCTTCTACTAGCTGCAACTCAGAACTAACCAATTCACCAGATTCCCAATTCAGATGGCCTAGTATAATTACTTATATATCCTTTTCCTTCAGCGATTCCAGCAGCCTAGTTGGTCATATGCTACTCTATACATCTTTGTCATCTGGTTTACCTAATCAGTTCCTATGAAGGTGTTTTATAGGCTTCCATCAGTTCAATGGCAACATCGAAAGTTTGTGCTACCTCTTTACTTGGAATTTCCAAGTGAGTTTTCATCTCTTTGGTTTCTTAGCCTTCTATACCCAGTGGTCTTATCGTGAATTTGCTTGAAGCCTTATACAACACTAGTTTTATATTCCTCTATGTATATATACCATATAACATTACACTTTGCATAGATGCCTCGAGCTTCTAATGTCAGGTGGGACCCAACTTGGTGTACCTAAGATTACAAATACCCAAAATTCAACCGATCGACAAAAGACAGTTACTATAACACAGATATAATTTCCAAAATTCGTCATCTGTAGGAATTGAACCTTAGATCTGCCACTTGAGGATTGACAACCTATCTACTTCACCTGGCCACCACACCTTATCAAAAGTAACTTGTATAATAAAATATTTTTAATTTAATTATACAAATAAAAATTATTTGAATATAAGCAAATTGTAAATTATTTTATTTGTAACTAATAAAAAAAATTTATATAAAAAGTTTTGACTAATAATCTTTAAGATCATATTAACAACATATAAGCATATTCTAAATATTAATTATTGGCCAATTTACTTTTTTATAAGTTTTTAAACTTACATATATAATATGATTACTATTTATAAAATATAAGATAATAAGAGTTTTTCTATATATTGATAATGCTTTTAATAAGAAGAACAACATACTTTGTCTATTTGTTTTATCAAAAATTGTAATAAGTAAAATAAATGTGTTAGCAGCTAATTGAGCACAATCTGGTAACAAAAACCAAAAAGAAATTGGACAAAATAATAATTTGCTTTTTAATATTTGTTGAAGCAAATTAATATTATAATCTAATCAGTCTTAATAAATTTCTATACACCTTTTTAATTAATTACTTATAGCCAACTTAACAAAAGCTTACTTCTCTTTATTACCTATAATAGCAACTGCAAGTGCTTGAAATTTACAGTTATCATTACCTTTAGGATTATAAATTTGATCTATATTTTCAGTAGTAATTAGAAAACATAAAATAATTTTTGATTTATTATTTATAAAAAAATTATTTTTTCAGTAGTTTATATAATTTACTTATTAAATAAATTTATTATTTAAAAAAGATAATAGTTTATATGAAATTAATTATAAAAGCTATTATCTTTAGTAAATAATAATTTATTTAGTAAGCAAATTGTAATTTACCAAATAAATATATTATTAATTATAAATTACTGACTTAATAATTTTTAAAGAATTTAAAATAAGCTTAAGAAATTAAATTTTTTTGAAATTTAATTTTTTAAATTAATTATAAATTCCTAATAAATATACTTTTATTAGGCAGTACTATTTAATAATTAAATATTTTTTAATATAATAATTATAAATTATTTGCATTACTTTTTGTAAAACTTTGTAATATTAGTATATTTTCTTTAGCATCTTGTTTGATTTTAATACTTTTAGTTTTTTTTTTTATTTGCTCCATTAGCTCTAATGCAATTAGTAATTATTTTGTTTTTAAGAGTCAATCTTTTGTTTTAATTTCATCTAAAAACTTAATTTCAGAAAGTTTTATTTCCAGTACTACAAGAATTGCATCAAGTTTGTTTAAAAGAGAAGTTTTTTGTTACTTATTTAAAAAACTTATATATTAATCTTCAATTTTATATAATTATGATTTAATTAAAAAATAATTATTTGAATAAGATAACTCTTATATGTCATTATTAGACTGTGTTTCATCTTAATTAGAAAATAGTAACTATCTGTTTGAAGTTATAGATAATTCAACAAAACTCTTTTCAGGTAATATATGTTGATATAGCAAATTATAGTTAACACATATTCTGTATATATAAGCTTTATATTTAGTTGCTTTTAAAAGTTTTTTTTGATCTTGTTAAGAGCAAATTGAGACATTTTTTTTAAAAGTAATATTAATTTTTTCTTGTTATCTTGTGCTAATAAAGGATCTATATGCATACTTTTATTTTCAATTTTTAATAAATTTTCTTTATGATATAAATGTAACTATCTATCTATCAACTTAAAAGATCTTATTAAACTTTCAAATGTTTCAATAGCATGTTTCATAGCAGAATGAATGCCTTTAACATGTTGAGTAGTTGTTGTTTCAAAATATATAATTTGACTTGTATAAGCACCAACACATTTTTCTTTAATATCTATTATTCTGTAAATAAATTTTATTAATATAATTATAGAATTTTATAAATATTATAAATTTTATATATATACAAAATAATATATGTATATTTATAAAATTTATAAACTTCTATAATTATACTAATTTAAAATTAACAATAAACTCATAATATATATTTGTTAAAATATTTGAGTATTTGAGCTTAATAATACTAATTTCTGATAATTAATTATTGCTATATTTAACATCTTATAATCCTTTAAATAAATAATACAATCTACTATTTTGATAATTTCTTCAAATGAATCATTTTTAAAATATTTTTTCAAATTTTTTTTAAAGTTGTTTAAGACATGCCAAGTGCATAAAAGATGACTAAATTTAGGAAATTTTTTCTTAAGAGCTCCAATAAGTGTGAAATCATTATCAGTAACAAATACAAAAAGAATTATATTAAAAAAGATTAAAAACAAAAGCTGTTCAACAATTTACATATATGAATTCTTAGACTTATCTGAAATTCAAGTACTAGCAATAGCAAAGGTACATAATTCATTAATTCTAAGATTACTAATACCAATAATATTTACAAATAACAATTTGTAAACATTAGTCTTGTAGATTGCATTAATCAAAATAACTTTAAAAAAATATTTAGTATTTTTAATAGATTTAATATAACAGAAGAATAAATATCTGATATATCTATCTTTATTAAATAAAAAATATTATAAATATTTTTAAAAATATATAATTAAAAGGCATGGTCTCACCATTAATATTTAAAAAAAATATATATAATTAAAATTAAATTAAGATAATTTTTTTTTTTTATATATATATTTTAAGGCCAATGTTAATGCCTTTATTTGTGTTTTTAGTGAATATATTATATATTACTTGTACAAGATGAGCATACAACTAGCTATACATGTAACTTTTGGTTACCTATTTAAGTAGTTCATCTAAGAGTTCTACACTAGCTGCCATATCTATAATCTACTAGGAGATTATCTAATTAAACACTCTGATTCTTATACTGCACCCAGACAATTAGTGTTCTGATTTCTGCATATCTAAGTACCATCTAACCCAACATTTAGCCTCTCTTCTGTATGTCTGTCAAGCCATTACACAATTATTTTCAAAGTATGATATCTAACTATAAAGCTTCAGAAGCCTCCTGTTAACTACCTACTCACTCTACAGAACATTAAAAGGCTTGCCCTTGCAGAGTTCATTCAGACCCTAGTACTTACTTTATAGCATATCCCTAGTACTTTTAGTATACTTCTACTTTTTCTTCAAACTTCCAAACCAGATAGCCTGGTAGAACTATGACTAGTCTATTAATATATCAGGTTAGTCTAATATTCTTTTTCTCCAGTCCTCCTAGTTGGACTTTCAGTGGTTTGGTTGGTGGTACTCCTACCCAGAAGTTTTTGCCCATCTAAGTACTCTATATTGGTATTTATTTCCTAGGTCTAGCCTTTACAGTAGTACTATCAAAGATCTATGTTACCTCTCTATTCAAGTTTTTCCAAGTAGGCTTCTTGTTCTCTAATTTTTACAGATTTATATGACTACAAGAACTTATTTTGGATTTGCACTGCAGATGCTGGTTTGCATTTCTCTATGTAACCAGTTACACAAATGCCCTATGACCTGTCAGTCATGCTGGTGCAATCATAATTACAGGTATCTTAACCCAATCATTAGAAACAGTTATCATAATACAAATATTAGATAGGTGATTATCCAAATTTTTGCCATCTGTAGGTTTTGAACTCACAACCTACTACTTGAAAGGTTTACAACTTATTCACTTTACTATGTTACTACACCTCTAAATTAAGATAATTAAAATACTTTCCTTCAAAATCTTCATAATAAATAATATGTCTTCTTTTTTTCATTTCTATTACTAGTGTTTTTATTAAAACATTCTCTTTAGAAGAATGTATTTGTACTTTTAAATTATCTATATTTTTTTTTGTTGCTGTTTATTTTCCATCCTCATCTCTGATAGTCTTATAAATTATGCTAGACTTTGGTTTAGCTTCTAACACTTTTATAGCCATTTGCCTTATTTCTTGTTTTTATTAACAACACTTAAGCTAAACTCAAACAGATTTGATCATTGAATAGTTATGTTTATCTATAATATCAACAACCTTCTATTTAAAAACCTCAAAAATAATCTTTAAAAGATATAGATAATCACAATGCTTACTCATTTTTTTTCATTGTCATATATTTACTGCTAAATTTAAAGTATTTCTAGGTTGGTCACCATGTTTGCATTGAATATGTAAGTGACATAGACCACTACTTTGAGTTGTTACTGCAAATCCAGATTGAAAGACAATTGCCTAAACAGCATTAAAAATATCACACTTTGAAATATATTTTTGTCTAATACTCATACTGATAAGCTTAATTCTTAACTAAAAAAAAATTATTTAATAAAAATTTAAATTTCAATTTAAATATTTAAATAATTATTATACTTATGCTAAATTAATCAAGCAAAAATAAAAATTCTTATAAATTAATACTTGAACTAAATTAATATAAATGAAGTTATTTGTTATATACTTGAACATTCACAACTAAATTAAATAAACAAATTATTTAATAATAATTCTTATAAACTGAAATATTTAAATAATCTTTATACTTATGACAAATTAATCTGAACAAACCAAATTCTTATAACTTGAATATTTGAATTTAATTAATTTGAATAAGTTCTCTATGAACTTGCAACTAAATTATCCAAAACAAAGTATTTTAATAGTAATTCCTTATGAGCTTGAATGCACATGACTAAACTAACCTGAATAATTATATAAACTTGGATATTTGAACTAAATTAACTTAAATTATTTGATAATGACTCCTTTATTCACTTGAACTATTAGATAAATTAACTTAAAAATTTATTTAATAATAGTCCTTAAAAATTTAAATTTAAATTTTAGTTGATTTTTATATTTACAACCTTGAAACAAACTGACTTCTTATAAACTTAAAGACTCGTAATGATGACTTTTTATGACTTGAATACCCGCAAATAAATTAGCCTGAATAAAGTAGATCCGTATGAACTTGAATACTCAAACTAAATTAATCTGAATAAAATATTTTAAATAATAATTCCTTATAATTTAAAATTCATGTTTAAGTAATCTTGTAGTAAACTTGTACTGATCTTATACTCACCTTGTGATAAAAGTAAACATAACAAAGTGAAATTGATATGAGCTTAAATACTCACAAGCTAATTAACTTGAAAGTGGATTTTTTATAAAATTCTAATTATGATTACCGGTATATTAACCTTAGCGAAGTAATTTATTTAAGATAGAAGAAGTAACAATATGATAATTAATATAAGATAGAGTATAATAATTTATATAACGATAAGATAGAAGAAGGTATGTACGTGCAGTATGGTAAGTTATATACATAAGATAGAAGTTCAAGTACCGTTACAAGCATAGCACACACGTTACCCGATCTTCACTACATTAATTTCACGTGACCTGCTGTGTGGATAAGAACGACCCTAGCGTCGCCCTCAAAAAATGGTAGCCGGACAGATCTGCCGGATACATGTTTTTATGTGATTCGGATT